TGGGCGCGGCGGCCCCGCGCTTCCTGCTGCCGCCGCGCCGGGCCCGCGGGGGCGGCACGGCAGGGGAAGGGGAAGGAACGCGCAGAAGTGAAATAAATAAAAGCGGGAAAGGCCGCGCTCGGCGTGCGTGTTTGGGGCGGTTCGCGGGGATTTGCCTTGTTTGAGGCTGCTCGTGTCGTTTTGAGTCGCTCGGGTCGGCCTCCCCGACGCCTCGTGGCCCTGCCTACAGCATCCGCAGTTCAACCCCCGGACGCCCTCCAGGCTCCGGCCGCTGCCTCCATCAACGGAGTCGATATTCATTTGATTTTTTAATTGTCCTCTGTCTTCGATGGGCCTTTCTGGTTTTCTCCAAGCCTTTGATAATTTGCATTTCGCTTTCCTATCGTCCTTAATGGTGACTCATCACCAGGCTTACTCCAATGGTTCTGAAAGTTTATGGCAACCCGCTCCCCCCAGAACAYATCGCGTTGCTGTTTCCCCAGGTTCCCCGGGCAGGCCGGGATGGCAGAGGGCTCCGGAGCCAAGGCCATGCATGGAGAGCCGTTGGAGGCGACACAGGCAGAGGAGCATCRTGCTGGGCCGCGGGATCGCTGCGTAGCATCAAGCCCGCAGCCCCGGCCTTCCTCACGCTGGGCTCCATTTCCTGCTTTTTAATTATAGGAGCTCTGGGGTCAGGGAGCATCCTGAAGGCCAGGATTGGGATCTGATGGAGCTGTAATCCTGCCCTTGCTATTAGTGTCGGGATCTGCTTTTCTTCTCAGCAAAGGTTAGCAGTGGGCGGCTCAAGGTTTTGTACCCAGTCCTGTGCTATTTGATGTATCTATTAACCCACGGGCAGGGTGAGCTGCTATTTGCAGAGAGCACGCTATTTATTTAAATGATTAATTATTTACGTGTTATTTAGGTTGAAACTGGTCCAAAGAGGCCTTTGCAGAGCATTCGAGCCGCACAGATGGGAGAAGTGAAAGCTGGCGGCAGCGTTCGCTGTGAAACGCAGCAGCGGATAAAGCACACCCTGAAAGATTGCAACCGGTACAGCCGGCACCGCCGGGCTGGAGCAGGCACCGGGATAGCCCCACAGCAAACCAGAGGAGCCCTTAAGTGCAGAAGTGGCCAAGAAAGTTTCAAAAAGGAAACAGAAATAGAGAGAAAAAGAAGCTTTGTGGGAGGCTGCTGCAAGGGTGCGAGTGCCAGGGGCCGCGAGGAGCCRCTCCGGTTGCCCTGCGGCAGCCGGAGCTCCCAAGCGGGCGTGGGCAGAGGCGGAAGGGCTGGGAGGAGATGAGGATGGCGGCACATTCCCAAGGGCCCTGTATTCCCAGGGGAGCTAGACTGCTGTGCCTTATGACAAAAGCTTTTCGGAGCGCTCTGAAAGCCTTTATAGTGTCAGTTTGTGGAGGCTGCTTACTGAACTCCTACAAAATCAGAAAAACGCCCAAGAAGAGGTTGTCACATGTGGCTTCTTTCAGAGGGGCCCTAGCACCGCGTGGCCACCACGGCTGTGCAAAGGCCACCCCGCGCCACGGTCACGGCTCGGGGGATTCCGGAGACGCGTTTTGAAAGCACCGCTTTTATTCAATAGCGTCTGGAAAATCCCCAAACRTGCACAGGGGTAGGAACAGGGTCCAACTCGGATGCTGGGACTCGATTAATCTGATTTGGCCCATTTGCTTCCAGGCGTAAGCGGCCTTGGAGCAACCCTGGGGATCGTTGGAGCAGGGAGTTGGGTGATATATTTTAAGGCTATGAGATTTTATCTTTTTTTTTTTTTTTTTTTTTTGGTAGCTATTTTGGAGTTTGTAATTGAATCCTTGACTTTGCTGCAATTAATTTCCCCTCTCATCCTGCCTGGTGCTCAGGGCACTCTTGATTAGCCACAGCAAGCAGAAGGCACAAGGTATCTCAGAAACAGCGCCCAAACCAAGCAGCTGGGAAGATTAAACACCCCGAATGACAGATGTCAACTCGGGGGTGAGAAGTCAAGTGGCAAGACAGGAGACGGGCAGAACGGGCGATGCTCTGCAGCAGCCTTGCGGGGCGGGCAGGCGGGAGCGGGGCTGGGAAGCGAGGGGGCCTGGAAAAACCCATCCCGGGGAGGGGAGGCAGGAAAACACGGCGGCAGCAGCGGCGCCGGGCGCTGTCCCCGTGATCTGCGGCGGAGCTCGGCGCCAGCTGCGGCGCCTCGCGGCTGCAGCGAGGCCAGGAGTTTCCGCGCAGAGCGGCCGCTTCCGCGCGCGCCTCGCAGTCGGGGCGCTTTTTTTTTT